ATGAGCTTTAACACACACTCCAACATATAAAAAGCCAAGAAGACTGCCTCCAGTGCTTCATAAACCCAAGCTAAGAAAGACAAATGAGAAACGGGAAATACCATATATTAGCACTGATGAGAACAACTCAACATTTGTGATATTGTGCGCAGGCACCATTACTTCTGGTGGAAAGTTGATGAATGCAGCAGAGATATTAAAGATGCGCACAATCATTTTTATGTTGTGTTTCTGTTGTCGCCTTGGACTTAAAATTACACCTAATGGCATGAATGCTACATAAAAAGGTAATTGCCCAGACAGCACACGTACGTCTGCAAGATGTCAGTTAAAGATCGCTTCATATGGAAAGCATCTGCTGTGTACAAACATCTGATAGACGTCTTTAAGATGTAAGTTTTACATACATTCTAAATCATCAACATCTTAAAGACATCTTCTAAATGTCTATTTGACATCTGTTAGGAAACGTCCTATAGACGTATTGCAGATGAGCAAAACACAAAAAAAAAACATTTTGCAGACGTAAAATAGACGTCTCTGTGATGTACGTGCGCTATCAGGGTGCAACTTTTTATCTCAAAATTCAGACCTTTTTTCTCACAATAGGTTTATGTCTCAACATTCTTAGAGAGGAAAAATGTGCAAGCAATTACCTTTTTATTTTTGTTTTATTTAATGACATAAACAGGCTTCCATACATTGCAAAAAAATTCTCTATTCACAGTCAGTCAGTCAATTCATAAAAAAAAAAAACATTAATTCACTGATTGAAATCAATGTGAGTGTACATTACTTTAAACACAAAACTGTTTGAGTGAGTGCAACTTTGCTTGTTTCTGGTCTGCTTGGGACACTTTATCTGATGCGAGTCTTTCAAATGTCATCACCACTTGTGTTGCAGTGTTCATCATGAGCACAAGCAGCATGACATGCTCATAGAGCCTAGTGAAGCGACAGAGGTCCTGCCGCAGATGGAGACCCCAGTCCAGCAACGCTTTCCACATCCTCTCTAAAGAGACACACAGAACAACTTACATTATGGATTCAAGCCAGTAAGACTGCTTTTCAGGACCATTAAGCATATCTACATCTGCAATCTACTACTTTCTACACTATCTTGTGTCTTTTGCTCGTTCAGTCTGCAGTGGAGTTTGTCATATCACTCACACATTCATGTGTGTACAAAAATACATTTGTAAAAAGTAATACAACACCAATTACATTTTTTTGTTTTTTTTAATGCTCACACTAAAAGTTGTACTTGAGGCACACTCAGTGAAACCATTCACTCATATACCGCGATCTTCGGACTGCAAAACTGCAAGCACATGATCTGCTTTACACTCATCTTGCAATTGTAAAACAAACTTTTTGCAAAACGCTAAACACAGTTGTCTACATTAGACACATCATTCAAAACGAATAGCTCTTGAGTTTTAATTGAACTTTTTAAGTGCCACACTTACTTACTGATTACCTTCAGCCAATGATAATGTGTGAAAACATTTATACATCATTTGTTTACTTAGAAATCAAAACTATGGAAGAAAAGGAAGAAGAGGAAGAAATAAATTAATTTCACCCCCTTTCATTTCTTTAGTGTAAATATACCAAATCTGATCACTTCGAAATCTAAATTTATCCCATTTATGCATTTCTGTTTACATTACTTTGTAAATTTAACACCGATTCAACACCAATTAAATGGTGTTTAAATACAAATCTCTGTATGCAGCCCCAGAAAACAAGACAACACACAAGTGACAAAATGAGAGAGATAAAGAATGCATTTCTCTGCCTCATCCAAAAATATGAATTTGTGATTATTTTCATCAGCATCCTGCTCTATCACCCTCTAAAAAGACATTTACTGTACAGGAAAATCAATCACTGATGATAATGATATAGAACAACACTCTGGACTTTGTTTACACCACACAGAGAGGAGCTTACAAGGCCCTCCCCCTCCCCCACCTCGGTGCCTCAGACCACATCACTGTCATGCTAATGCCTGCATACAGACCACTTGTTAAAGTCACCAAACTGTACATGTGGAAGAATTGACAATAAAGCAGACTTGACTTGACTTGACTTGACTTGACTTAACTTGACTCTTGGGGTTTTTTTTCCTCCCAACAACAGGCACCTTGAAATTGAACATACCTGAACATACTCAGTCCTCAATTATTTTAATTTTCATGATTTCCACAATTTCCATTAAAACTATGCATCAAGAGTAATGCAATAATTACTTATCATTTTGAGCAATTGTATCAACTGATAGTTCAATAATTGCAATGAAATGAATAGACATTCATCTCAGATGTAATGTGTGAGTTGCATTTTGAAATGATAATACTTTGATGTTAAAGGGAAGTTCACCCAAAAATTAAAATTAGCCCATGATTTACTCACCCTCAGGGCATCCTAGGCGTATCTGACATTCCTCTTTCAGACGAACAGAATCGCAGTTATATTTAAAATTGTCCTGGCTCTTCCAAGCTGTATAATGGCAGTGAATGGTGCTCTTGTTTTTGAAGCCTCTTTTGATGCCTTGTCGTAAACGCGCCTGCTTGAGCGACCGGAAGCTGGAGATTACAGTTTATACATTTTTAAAAATCTATATTTTTCTTACACTAACGCATCATTTCGATTCAGAAGGCCTTTATTTACGCCTAGGATGCCCTGAGGGTGAGTAAATCATGGGCTAATTTTAATTTTTGGGTGAACTATCCCTTTAAGCTGTGTCATTTTGAAACGGTGATTTTAGTTCAATGAACAAATTATATTAGGTTTATTTGTACTATATCCAAGCATTTGGAAAAAGTGTTAAAGGTGACATATTATGCCCCTTTTTACAATATGTAATATAAGTCTCTGGTGTCCCCAGAATGTGTCTGTGAAGTATCAGCTCAAAATACTCCACAGATCATTTATTATATAATTTTGAAAATGCCTATTTTGAGTGGAAGCGGAACACGCTGTTTTTTATGGGCCTGTGTCTTTAAATGCAAATGAGCTTCTGCTCCCCTCCCCCTTTTCCAGAATAGAGCTGCGCCTTTATAGCGCATACCTGCTAAAAAAAACAACTGTTTTGGTTCTGATTATCACGTTTATCTTGCTGAAATCATGCATTTTAAACCATATGAGTTTAAACTTCAGATAATGGCATTAGAGCTGGTACACCGTTGTTGCTTGCAAAATCAAAATGACGGTGCTGTGGGTGGAAACTTACAGATTAAAGGGCGGTAATATTATAATGAGATCCCTTTGGGATCAAGGGTGCGTCACCAAGGGAGCGAAATCAGACGCACTCGTTTTCTCAAGACGCTTGCAGAAAAAGGCTATCCAAAACAAAGTTACTGGGTTAATCTTTTTCACGTTTCCTTGGTTGGTGGATGCACCAGGGACCTAATTATAGCTAAAACCTGGAAAAGTCAGATTTTCATGATATGTCACCTTTAAGAGTTTTGAAAAATGCATTTTGATCATCGGTTGTGAATTATGTGCTTACAGTTTTGAAAAATGACATGAAGATTATGATATTAATGCAAAAATGATTGTAAAAAAAACTGTAAACAAAGGAATAAAATAAAATTAAAATGAAAACAACAACAACAACAAATGACTGTATGCCAATGAGTATTTGATGTGACTAAATGTGTTCTTACTGTAATTTTCCCTGTAGAATAGAGAAAATAGGGGAGGCAGAGGCAAAATTCTGACTGACAAATTAACAAAAGTTGGCTGTGGTCAAGAAATAATATTCACCTTACAGACACTGGGCAACACATCCTGGACAAAGACAACATTTTCAACAGTGTGGAAGCCATAAGTTTGCAGACTGTTGCATGCATACAGAAAAGGCACCATGTGTATACCGTGTGTCTTTACCGTAGACACCATTTGAAAGAAATTAAGACAAAGTTAAGCAATTTGACGATCGAGTATGTTCAGGTTTGTTTTACCCCAAAATTTCAGTCATCAGTAATGAACTTTACAAAACGTCTATTTAGAGAGTGATGGAGCTGTGGCCAAATCTACAACTTTGTACTACAATATTTAATGATTGCATGAACAACTACAAAGTGAAACTTTGGTTCCAACATTACTGCATGATAAATGAGTTATTTAAACCAAAGCAAGTGCAAGGTTTCTTTAAAGATATTAATGCACAATGAATTGTTTTTAAAAAAATGGCATCAAGACTCTGTAATTAGTTCCAAAGTGATTGTAAAAAAAAAAACGTGAAGAGTCATGATGCACCATTTCAGCAGCGTCAAGGTACAGGTTTGGCACTTTTGATATTGAGCCACTGTACGTTATTTCGCCTGTGCGTTGCATTTTCGTAGCCCTTTTAGCTGTGAAAAATTGCTTTCAAATTAGGCTATTCTTGGATAGTTATAGCATTTACAGTCTCAGCAGAGTTTAATTAATCTTTAAAGAAAAATGGCAGATGGCAGCCTAGGTATATCCAATCATTTTTTACATGCCATTTTATTGAAAGTCCATGGGGTGGCCAGAAGGGCACAGTAAAATCCTAGGGTGGCACGCTCAGACCCCTTCAAATAAAAAGCAGTCACTAAATGTTGTTGTACACTGTGACACTCAAACACAGTTGAAGTGTTATGAAGTGTTAAGGTCAACTGTGAAGTGACAAGTGACAATTAGAGAGGCTGATGTGAGACACACACCCGCTTATGAAAATGAGAATCTACAAAAAAACTGTGAATTTTCTTATAACCTGAGGTCCAAACTGCAAAAAATGTCGAGAAATTTGATAAAGCTAATATCCAGTGTTGCAAACAAGGAAATCAAGGGGCAAATGCCTGCAATTATTTATGGCATATATACTTACTTACATAAAGTTACCAGAATTAATGGGCCATTTTCAAGCTGTTAAAACCGGAAGTCACTAAACTTGAAAGTGGGTCAAACCTCTTGTTCAACCACAAGCATCATGCAGGAAAAAAAAGGTACTTAAGATTCTTTGTCATGAAAGAAACATTTATTGTACTAATTAGTTACTGCCAAACAGACGATTTGAAGCTCACTGGTATGTCGTATATCTCTCAATATACAGTAATCTGAAATCATTTTAATTTTGTATTTTATATATGAATGTGTAGTTTTATAAAGTCTTTACCATTTATTTATTCACAATGAACAAATAATGAAAGAGAAGAAAAATTTACACTAAACTTTATTTGTTTACTTACTCTTCGCAGATAAAATCAAACATGGAATTGTCAGGTGAGTTTGTTTGGATGTTATCAATACCGGTTTGTTTATTTGACTACAGCCAAAGCAAGATATGACCCCTTGTGAAAAAGAAGATTTCTTTTAACAGAAATAACCTACTTTAAAAGAATAATTGCAAACTTAATGTAGTGGTTTTGGACATTTAATTGCATGTAATTTACAATGAAATGAAAATGTATTATAGTTGTCACGCTCCCAACATTACAATTTTAATTAATATTATCTATTAATATTATCGAATAATATTATTTTATTATTATTAATCTACAAGTGCATTTTCAATACATTTATTTGCACTTCTTTTCACTTCACTTATGAAAACAAATTAAACCAGTGTATTGAATACAAAATTACAATTTTTAATAATTTCTTGTATTAAAATATGCATTAGTGTATTAAAGAGCTGTAAGTGCGAACATGAAAGTTGTAATCTGCAGATATGAAGTTTATAAACCTGATTGAATGTTGTGTAGCAAGGATGACATCCATGTTCATTAATAATACACAATAGATTTCAGTGGGTAATAACTTGTTTAACAAAACTGTTTGATACATACTCATGTCTGTTTATGCTCCACTAGAGGACACTGCAATGGTACCTTGCCCAGATCCATATCGCCCACTTCATCTGGAGCCCTTGACCTGGGTCAGATAAGACTGGATATGCTTATTATTAATTAAAGCAATAAGCCGCAATACGCCGTGTTTTATGGTGAATTCAGAGCATTTATCTGGATATTGACATTAATTGTGCAATTATTGAAGCACTGATCAAAGTTAGCACTCTTTGTTGATGCTGGGATATTTTGTCACATTCTTCTCAGCAAAGATTTGTCGCTACTCCAGCGAAAACATTGTTTAGTGATAAACTTAGCATCTTTCAACAGATCTGCTTATCAGTGGATCATTACTTCACACAAAAATGAAAATTTGCTGTTAATTTACTCACCATCAGGCCATCCAAGATGTCGAATCATTCTTTTGAACTGGTTCTTTTTAGTGAACTATGAACCAGTTCACACCAAATCAATGAAACTCTTGTCGAGCAGCACAGATTTGAACTGTGCAATGTATTGTGTACTGTATATTTGATTTCTGTATTTTTTTAAATTACAAATGCAATGAAAATACAGGTATCGGTATTCAGTATCGACAAGTAGGCTACCAAAAATGAAAGTATCGGTATCTGACTCATTCTGGAAAAAATGGTAGTGGTGCGTCCCTACTAAGAACATTATTTAACACATATTATTCAATATTTTAGTGTTGACACAATACTTTGTTTACTACAATTTAAGAATGAAATTGAAATTAAAGTTTTAAGTAAAAAAAATTTTTTTTTTTTTAAACTACTGTACTTTTTGTATTCTAATAAATTAAATCATTTTGCTTTTAAATGTAAAAAAAATTACATTGCATTGTTCCCCAAAAGTTTTTTAATGTGCTCCTAAATGTTTTAACTTATGAGCACATGTGCTCCTTGGGGGGAAAAGTAGGCATCAAGCCCTGTTATATGTATTTTTCTCTAACAAATGCAGTTATTTCCTGTTATTTTTATGCTTATTTTAGATTGATCAATTGTTTGTCTACAAAGAACCTCATCCGGATGAATGTTTTGACGAAGGTCTGTTCATCAGCATTTCATGATTTCATGAATGAGATATAGCCGGATCATCGGGGTCCACGCACAACCCAGTGGGCAATTGATGTTGAAAAGACATCAAATTGACATCAAAATTGACATAAAAAAACAGGCCAAATATGCAAATCAAACTGATGTCAAAAACTTGGCATGAGTTTGATTTGATGTCAACTGAGCGTCATTGGCCTACATATACATCAAACCAATTTCAGTGTGGGATTAACTTCCTATTTTCACCCAATTACCACTGGAAGAAATTGCCATCCAATTTAAAATTGATGCTACAGCATCGTCATCGATGACTAATATTTGATGTCAAATTGATATCAAGGTGTCCGCTGGGAAACGCCTTGTGTAGGATACAGTTAGGTCACAACGGCCATGTCTCTTTTCAAACGTGATACGAGTAGGCCTATTTAAGTGTCTTTCTATGGAAGTGTTATTTTATGTACCATATTACAATAGACAAATAATATTGTCTATTGAAGTTTGGCATGTTTACTGGTCAGCATGAGTACACTTGAAGGCAGCAATATGTAGGCTACTGCAATAAAAAGAGGGAACTTTTCATTTTAACTGGACAGCAATAAATAAAGTCATGTCATGCAGCTTGACAGATGTTTATAATAGCATATTATTTGGAATATATTAAAATAAAGGTAATATTTAGTGATATTGAAGTGTTTTAGAGATCACATATTCTTTTGCAAACTGATTAAGTTTATTCATGTATATGAAATTATAATTATTTTTTGCATCTTGCTTAGTACAAATAATTATTCTGAACCATTTACACAGATTTCAATTTATAAGCATTCATGTTTCATTCACATTGATATTGTTGATCCCTGAGAAATCGCTGAAGCCCTCGAAAAATCTGCGTACACTATGTCAGCTATCTGATACCTTCTGTGAGTATTGTCTATGTGAACCACAGACATCAGTTGGTAATTTAGATGAAAAGTAAAGGAAGACAAAAAAAGATATCTAAGAATATGAAGCACAGGTTTATTTATTTATTATTGTTATTAGTATTAGGGTTAGGGTTACCTCAGTAAACATTTACCACTGTAAAAATTATTTATTTGTAATTCACAGTGATGGAAACTGATAGAAAAAATATAGATATCTTATCCTGTGGCTCTCTCTAGTGGGCAACATTACAAAGTGTTGTAGTCCGTCAACCATTTTGAGTAGGCAAAAAAGTCTTTTTCGATCTCCTCTAACACCACTTGACTGATTCTCACGAAATTTTGCATGTATCATCTATAGATACAAATAATAAAAATTGATCAAAATAATTTTAATTAGTCAAACCGTTTAGAAGATATAAGCCAATAAATTTTGTGGCTATGGCTCCATGCACTTATTAAACTATCTTATAAACCCTTAGATGAATCAAAATTCTTTTGATAACTTTTTGTCAAAAGGGTCTCTAGATGATATATACAAAATTTGGCATTAATTGGATAAATGGTCTAGGAGGAGTTCAAAAAAGTAGGTTTATAAAACAGCTCAAAATGGTGGAATAATTTTATGCTCGACTCAGAGAATCAGAGGGAAAAAATTATTTGGATTGTAACCTGTACTGTTGTGGAGCAAAAACATAAAAGTAATTATTATAGGTGTGTGTGTGCAGCTGAGTAATGGGGAAGAGTTGGGACCATTCTGCTAAATTTGGCATTTCTACGACTTATGGTTTTGGCTGTCTAGACACTTTTAGTGCAGAAAAAGACTAATAATAAATATAGCTGCAAGCAGGCACATCACATCTTCAGTGCTTGGCCCCTAATAGTAATAAGAAAATTAGTACAAATACAATAGAGTTCCGGCACCTTCGGTGCTTGGACCCCTAAATAAAGCGACATCAAACGAGCATCAATCTAATCTCCTTTCTTTTCATTTCTTACAGTCTGCTGTGGAATAAAGCCTGACAACAGATATAAGGTGAAGGATGACGTCGGGAATGTTCTTTTTAGTATTCTTGAGGACAGTGATTATTGTAGCAGGCATTTCTATCAAGGACGTTCCTTCATAATGAATGTTATTAATGAATCTAATAAAGAGGTCATCAGACTGGTGCACCCATTTGTTTGCAGCGGCTGCAATCATGAGGTATGAACGTTATCCTTCTCTTGTTCAGCCCTTGAGTATGTTGTACTGTATATTATATGCTGTATGTATATTTTAGCTGGAGGTTCAGTCTCCACCAGGCTTTGCCATCGGACATGTTCGACAAAACTGGCATGTTTGCCTGCCTAAATTCACAGTTGAGAATAAACGAGGTGAACCAGCCGTTAAGATTGCGGGACCATTTTTACCTCTTACCTGCTGCATGGATCAGAACTTTGAGGTGATGCACAAGTTAAAATTTTTCTTTTGAATTTTATTATTTTTAAATTGACCAAAGTTATTTTCTATTATAACATAACCTTCACATAAACCTTTTAGTATTTTTAGATTATGATTTTAACACTGTTAGTGTGCTTATCAAGCCATTTTCCTTGTTTCCTGACCCACATTGGTTGTAGGTTTACGTTTAGGTGATTTCAGGTTGTGTTACATTTCTGGGGAAATTTGATGACCACACTGAAGAAAAACACCTGTCTCGCGTGCGCACACACGCACACACACACACACATTTCTTTGGCTTTAAATGTCAGAGCTAACATGGTCTTGTTTGCTTTCTTAAAGAATAAAGTGATTAATAAAGAATAAAGCTTAACGCACACACACACACACGCACACTGGTTTCCATTTTTTGTGGGGACCCTCCATAGGTGTAATGGTTTTTATACTGTGCAAACCATATTTATGTCCCCACAAGGTCAAAATTTACTGGCATTACTATACTTGTGGGGTCATTTGGTCCCCATAACGTGATAAATACCAGGGACACACGCACACACACACACACACACACACACACACACACATTTCTTTGGCTTTAAATGTCAGAGCTAACATGGTCTTGTTTGCTTTCTTAAAGAATAAAGTGATTAATAAAGAATAAAGCTTAAGCTGTAAATCCAGTTCTGCTTTCTGACATTTATCTTAGACCCCTATAGGGCCAAATTTCAGAAACGTCCCCAGCTCAAATTTTTTATTTTGTCAATATTTTTTTTTTCTGAAGAAAGATTAACATGTGTAGTGATGAAAGCCAAAATATTAAATGTAATAAATGATGAAGAAAACCATTAAAATATTCATCCATGTATTTCTTTCACCATAAAAAATATTAACAAAATCAAAAATGTGATCTGGGGACCTCTGGTTGAGTTGACACGAAATGACACTATAGGCCTGTTTTTATACTAAAATATTACAGTGAAAACATACTGTAGATGAGGACTACCTGTGCTTGAATACTTAATGTGTTGATGTGAGTTATAATTACCCATCTTATACTTTGACCACAGCTGGTGTCTTTGAACGGGGCAGCGACAGACGGACCATTTGGCAAGATCTTCAAACCTTTCTCATGCAGTGTACTAAATACAGGTGCAGATTTTGTGCTGAGGTTTCCAAGCAACCTGGATGTCAAAATGAAAGCTACACTGTTGGGGGCCTGCATACTTATTGTAAATATTGTTTAGAAAGCCTTTTTTTTTTTTTTTAGTTTTGCAATTTAAAACTTTTTTATATTTATTATTATTAATACTCAATCCATTTTCAGGACTTCATGTATTATGATAAGCCAAAACAACCGTTACTACGTCTACTAAAGTATTTATCTCCTGTGACTGTTTACACTCTGTTTACACTCAAGTAAACACACATGAAGAAGATAACAAGGTAAATTCATAATAATCACCTTCTTTATTAATAAAGAAAAAAACACAGGAGATTGCAGGAGAAATACAATAGAAACATAAACCACACTAAATACTAACGAACCGACAAACACAACTGAAATCTCAGGGTTATCCACCTTTTTCGTAACGAGTACTGCATTTTAGATTATGGGAGGCTTTTACGATTTGGGCAAGTTCTACTCAACTGAAACAAATAATTTTATATCATAAGGCTGCGCTATAAATAATCCTTATCCGTCAGTTTGACTGAGTGAGCTGTACAGTTTCCTTCATGTTGTATTTTGAGACGTCAGGAGAATAATGGAACACTTAGTGTTTCATGATGACATGCTATAACAAGAAAAACTCTTTTCAGAAGAATAATGTCACCTCATTGAGTCCAGTTTTATTTATTATTGAGTTCATAGAGTGAAACTTTGGCTGATTGTTTACAGTTTAATGGAATTTACTCCAGCAAATCACGCAAAGTGCCACAGGGCATAGGAAAAAGGTGGATGCATACAGTACAAGGGGCAAACACAGGCAACTAAACGAAGCACAGCTGAAACTTAACGGAAACCAAGAATGTATTTTGGTATTTTTATTTGCTCAAAATGGATATGTGTGTATTTAAGGCCTTTAAAATTGTGTGGAAAGTTACCAAGGTGGCCATTTTTATCTTTGCGTGCAGGTAACATAATTTTCCATTTTGGATGCGCCAACTTCAGAAAGAAGACTGAAGGAAGACAAATGTCTGCAGACTGCTTGCCAAATTATCCTCCAATAAAGGCTGAAGAGAATATTGCATCTTGCAAAAAAAAAATAAAAAATGTCACATTGCAAATGCTGTTAAAGTTGCTAAAAATTTACCATCTCTTTTTCTGAGGCAATAAATCTTACATTTTATTATTTTGTTTTGTGAACTCCTTAAATTTGAAAGTGACAAATGACACATTATCACTTGTTTTTTTCAGTTTGTGGCTCTTATTGAAAGGTGCCACTGAGGTTGCATGTGTTATCGGGAAGTGAAGCAAACACAGCAGTAACCACAAACACCAACTGCTTCTTAGTAGGTGCTGGTGATGTTAAAAAAAAACTACCCCAACTGGCACTTTGAGTTGCTCGTCATGGAAAATCCAGACAGAATGCTCCTATTTAAAAATGACAAATTTTTCTCTGCTTTCTTGATGGATAAAATTAATTGCACAGACATGTATATTTTCTGCTTTTTAAATGCATTGTCAGTTTTTCAGACCATCCACCAAAATAAAGATTTTCTTTTGCCAATTTAATTATGCAATAAACATCTGGAAATTCTGCATTTCATATCAGACATTTTGTGCATGATACTTCCAATATCTCATAAGCCCACAAACATGTTAATAAATCTGTTTGTTGTCTGAATTGTTCCTCTGCCAGTGTACAGTACCACTGGTGTCTTGATACGTCAACACCCGATGTACACCCGTAACACCCGATTTTTTTTAAAGCGCTATATAAATAAAGGTGACTTGACTTGACTTGACTTCACAATATTTCAGGCAATGGAGTTTGCGAAGTCATGTCTTTTTTATGTCCAGAGGTACAATTCCAATTAACCCAACAACGAAAACAGAGAACACTGACAGACAACAGTATGATGAGTGTATGAATTATAATTTCCATGCCAGACAATTATCCTTAAAATGACTGAACCTTCAATGTGCTTAAGTGCTGTCATCATCTAAGTGAACATACAGATGGCAAAACCTTTGGCATTTTTACAAAGGTAGTTGTTAGATGGATATCTTGGACCATTTTGTTGATTTTTTCTGCTTTGGGTTTAAAATGTGAGACACCATTGTTCTGCTCAGGGGCCAGTTGCGTAAACTTAGCCTCTATGTTAAGACAGTGTCTTAAGAACTAGTCTGACCAACTAGAAGTTAGCTATCAGTCTTATTTTTGGGATTTAATTTAGACTAATCTGAATTTTTATGTAACCGAATTAAAAAAATTATGACCATTCTTTAAGAAAATAATTAGATGACTAACTTGTAAGACTAGTCTAAACCTTTTATGCTAACGGTTGCAGGTGTACCGTAGCTCTTGCATGACCATTTAGTCTAAAGTGCCAAAGTAATACATGAATGCTAGACATAATCGATACATTTAAAACTTATTTGCGTTTTTAACATTAGCATATATTGTTTTTTTTTTTTACTTTGTAGTGTTGTTTTTGCCACACACACAAAAAAAAAGCCTTCTGTTTGTACCGTCAGATGAAATCAGTCGCTCATGCTTCTATACTTAATAACTGTGCTCATTTATGTGACAGAGTTTGAATTAAAACAGCTAAATGTAAACAAACAGCTGATGTGACCCAGAGTTATTGAATACTAGAACCTGGTCACATGACATCACCATCATTAAGCTTTTGACAACTTTTTCAGTCTTTCTATAAAAAAACAAACAAAAAAACAAACATTATCCCTAAAAGTTTGAGTTAGAATAGTTTGCAAGAGCTCGATTAAATACAACAAGGCTGTGAAAGTGACTAGTGATTAGATGAGCTTGTTCTGTGTCGCTTTTAATGTCTCTGAACAACCAGTCCCATTTAGCCAGTTGATAGTAACTGCCTTTTTCAAGACAAGTAACTTGTAACACTCCAAAGAGAAAGGAAAAATTGAAATCGCATCATATGACCCCTTTAAAAATCACAAGGGTTTTACTGATGCATTTTCTGAAAGAAACAGGAACTTATACCGTCCAGTTAGTAGGTGGCGGTAAAGCAGATACCGGTTTTGCCAGCGGCCGACAGACAACTGAAGAAGAACACTTCCGTCCGTGAAGGTGACAGTTATGGCGGCGGCAGCTGTGGTTCGTGGAATCGGCTCAAATCTGTCAAAACATCTGCGTGAAGTCCGCCTGCATTTATGCCAGATATCAGCTGCCAGCCAGGGAAGCAGGTGCAGTACTGGCGCTTTTTACGGATGGATGTTTTGTAGGGAGAGTAAATGTCCTCTGTAGAGGCTACTTGAATCACTTGCAGTAATGTTTATGTACGTTATAAATAGTGGCTGACGACCTGTATGACTGAAAACTGCACGAGAAACCGACTAGCTTTTAATTCAGAGTACAGGGTTCGTACAGATATTTAAGAGTTAACTTCAAGAGGCTGTGGGGAGGCTGTTTCTAATTTTAATAATTATACATTAAAATCATTATTTATTATTGGCCACACGTTGTCCTGCCTAATGGAAGAACTCTTCCAATCATTAAATAAACAACACGGACAAACTGACCGATTGAAAGATCAATGTTCAGTGAATAATCAGATGTTGTGTATATATACAACATCCGATTATTCACTGAACATTGATCTTTACAAAGTGACACGACATGTGGCCAAGTATGGTGACCCATACTCGGAATTAGTGCTTTGCATTTACCCATCCAAAGTGCACACACACAGCAGTGAACACACATACACCGTGAACACACACCCGGAGCAGTGGGCAGCCATTTATGCTGGGGCGCCCGGGGAGCAGTTGGGGGTTCGGTGCCTTGCTCAAGGGCACCTCAGTCGTGGTATTGAAGGTGGTATTGAAGCGCTGTACATTCACTTCCCCCACCTACAATCCCTGCCGGTACGAGACTCGTACCCACAACCTTTTTGGGTTATGAGTCCGACTCTCTAACCATTACCTGTATGTATTATATATTTTACAATATATATATATATATACACACACACACACACACACACATACATACACACATATATATCGGTCAAAAGTTTAAAATAATTATGCTTTTTTTTTAAGTTTTTGAAATAAGTCTCTTATGCTTACAAAGACTGCATTTATTTGGTCAAACATACAGTAAAAACATTTAATTTTGTGAAATATTATTACAGTTTAAAATGTTTGAATATATTTTTTTTAAATGTAATTAATTCCTGTGATGCACAGCTGAATTTTCAGCATCATTACTCCAGTCTTGAGTGTCACATGATCCTTCAGAAATAATTTTAATATGCTAATTTGGTGTTTGAATTTTATTGGTGCTCAATTATTATTAATGGTCCTTATTATTAAAAACAGTTTTACTTTATTTATTTTCGTTGGAAACGGTGATACATTTTTTTTAGGATTCTTTGATGAATGGAAAGATTAATGAATAGCATTTATTTGATATAGAAATATTTTGTAACATTTGAAATGCCTTTACTGTCTCTATTGATCATTTTAATGCGTCCTTGCTGACTAAAAGTATTAATTTCTTTTATTTTAAAAAATGACTTATAAATGGTAATGTATCACAGTTTCCACAAAAATATTAAGCAGTAAAACGGTTTTAAACATTGAGTAACATAATAATAAAAAGAAATTGAGCACCAAATCAGCATATTAGAAATGATTAAAATTGATAAATGGATTGTGTGGCCTGACGACCATTGTTGTTTTTATTTTTTGGTTCAGCATGGAACTAGTTCTCAGTCATATTCTTATGTCTTTGTAATTATTATTTGTTGTTCTTATTTTAGAGATTTTATTGAGCAGCATTATGTGACATTAAAGGAGGCAAACCTGGAGTTGCCCATCCTGATCCGAGAGTGCTCTGGAGTTCAGCCCACGCTCTGGGCACGATATGGTAGGAAAATTCTCCTGAAAACTAAAGCATATTCATACAAATGACCACATATGCATAATGATGCATCTCTCTGCCTCAGGTTTTGGCAAAGAACGCAGTGTTTCACTGGACAACATGAATGTCGATCAAGTGGCCAAAGCACTTGAATCACTAGTAAATGCAAAGCCCTAAGTAAGCGTCCTGATGTAAAATAATGTACATGTTATTTGTGTTCCAAATTGAAAATAAATGTGTGTTCTAAAGGTCTTGTTTTTTTTTGTTTTTTTTTGTGCTTCTGTGAAAGGTAAGTGTGTAGATTGCCCATATATCCAATAAAGAGATTTCCAGTAGTCAGAAATGAGAATTTATTGTTCATTGCTTATGCTAGCCTGGCATCAGGCATATACAACAGCACCACCATATGCATATTTAGGGTCCCAGACATAACATGGGTGTTAACAATATTTTAGAAGCAAACCAGCAAACATTCGTAACTGTACTCTAAAAGGTTTAATGTGACTCTGTTCCCAAATACATTGTGTAAAAAAAAAAAAAAAAAGTACTTATTTCCACCTAGCATTTACAGCATAAATTATCGTTAATATGTTTCATTCTGAAACAGTCTTAATGTAGTGTGGTATATTTTTGTTTCATTTACGTATTTACTGCAGCTGTATTTACTTTTCATTTTTCAGAATCAGCAATTTTTTTCAGCTAATTAATGATAAAAACATTGACAGCCAATCATAATCCAGCCTGCTTTGAAGAGCTCAAGTATTTAAAGCGGCAGACAACAAAACTGCGTTGTACACTTAGAATAAATGGAATGTTAGCATGCATTGGCGTGGACACTAATATTGTAATATTTATCTTTATAGAGACCATTCTTGGTGTGAACAGAAGCTTTCTATGTGTAAGATAGTCTATGATGAAGTGACAATTTAAAGATGGGACATTATACAACTATTAGTATTTCTAGAATTTTTCTGAAATTTCCCATTAGATTATTACACTCCTTGAGGTGACATGAAAATCCCGTCATGTTATATACTGTCATTTGTACTTGCATTCTGTTTTCAATGAGCAGTATTTGTGAGATTTAACAGCACTCGGACATAATACTTAAATGAGAGTAGAATAAACAACTTGCATTCAAGATCAATCCAATCTGTTTTACTGTATACTGTATAAAAAACTTTTTTTTTTTGTGTTATTTTAGATACTGCGACACACACACACACACATATACACACACACACACATATACACACACACACACATATACACACACACACACATATACACACACACACACATATACACACACACACACAGACACACATATATATATATATATGTGTGTCTGTGTGTGTGTGTGTGTGTATATATTCAAGATCAATCCGATCTGTTTTACTGTCTTCCCAGTTTTTAATTTGAATTAAAAACATTTTTTTGGTATATATATATATATATATATATATTATGTAATTAACAATCAGGACATGTCTCAGGCACATGTCTTGCTTAATTTAATACTTCTCCCATTCTACATGAAATTCTGTATTGTCAAATTTCTTGGAGACTGTGATTATGTATTTTGATCTGAAGGGCCACTGTATGCTTATATGTAAGGTCTCAAGGACAAAAGGTTGGGATCCACTGATATATGTTATAAAACAAAAGTGTAACAATAATAATAAAACATGACAATGACTAACAATCTGTTTTAATGCAAAAGTATGTGCACGGAATAGGTAATTGTACATTACTCAGCTGTTACAACCCCTACACCAGTTCGTTGGTAACACTTGATTTTAGTGTCCTTGTTGCATGTTAGCTGTTGCATGTAGTTACACAGTAATAACAGTAAAGTATGCATAATTGCATGTAATTAGCATAATAGTAATGTGTTAATTAATCATTCTCACTATTTAAATGTGCAATTAGGCCTACAGTAACCATCGACTTCCATAGTATGAAAAAAAAGGAAGTTAATGGCTACCATCAACTGTTCAGACACGAACGTTCTTTGTAATTGTCTATATATTCTTTTGTGCTCGACAGAAGAAAGAAACTCATACAGGTTTGGAACAATTTGAGAGTGAGTAAAGGATAGCAGAATTCTCATTTTGGGTGAACTGTTCCTTTAAATGACTGATATATGCAGCCATAAATATGCCCAACGATGAAATCACAGTCTGAACATTGTTTCAAACCTCAAGAGGCTTTAAGAGATAGACAATCGACTATTCAGTTCTTACCGCCTTCGTCATGATGGGGTTGGACTGTGAAGAAAAAGAAAGGAGGGGTTGCATGGTTCTAATATCATAGAAAACTACTTGTTTTCTTGTTTTTGTCAGTGTAGCCTTTTGTGGTACGAAATAAATTATTGGCTAGATTAACAAAAAAACGCCGATTTTAACGCATTTTTGAGGATAAATTGCACAATATGTCCTATTTGCCGTTCCTTAGGTGACACGTGGTTTGTTGGTCAGTAGGTCGCCTGGTTTTTGGCGACGCAAGGTGGAATCCACCCAGCAGCAGCAGCAGCAGCTCCCGACCGCCACGTCGCGCTGACAGCAAGAAGGCGAAGATTATTAGCCTAAAGCTTCGTCTCGCCTCCTCCCCGAAGCTGATGAGCACGCTCATAGAGTTGCAACTGCTTTTGAAGTGGATGGCATTATTCGTGCTCTTCGGACTCCTCATCCTCAGTCCACGAACTTCTGCGTCTTGCAGTGACGCGAGGTCGAGCAGAGAAGACGCCGAGCGCTTTCGGGTTGAACAAGCTGCGGCTTTCAGACCCAAACGACCTCCACATATCATCTTCATACTGACAGATGACCAGGGTTTCAATGACATCGGATATCACAGCAGAGACATCCGCAGCCCGACGCTGGATAAGCTGGCTTCAGAGGGAGTGCGCCTGGAGAACTACTATGTCCAGCCGCTGTGCACCCCGTCCCGCAGCCAGCTCATCACAGGCAGGTCATTCACCTCATTGCCTTGTTCACACGATATGCAGAATGTCAAAAGTTCGTCACAAGTAGCTTTTCCACAAGCTGAGATAAATACTGATATATAGATGGTGTGTATAAGCACAAACGCAGTCATGACTCCACAACAATGCAGTATAAACATGAATTAAACAGCATGAGATTTAACAGAAAACACTAATAAACAACTGATAGCAAAAACGATTTTTTTAATATCAAATCTGAGCTGTCACACAGGGAGTTCTGGAAATGTTAGTTTATGTTTGTTTTTTTTACTGTATATTTGACATATTTGATCTGGAAGATATAGGTCAGTTGACTCATGACCCTATATAAAACAAGCGGTCAGTATAGCTCACCCAAAAATTAAAATTTGCTTAAAGTTTACTCACCCTCAGGCCAATCCAAGATGTAGATGAGTTTGTTTCTTCATGGGGACAACGAGAACAAGAAATGTAGCATTCCATCACTTTCTCAGCAATGGATCCTCTGCAGTGAATGGGTGCCGTCAGAATGAGATTACATAATCCACAAGTAATCCACTCCAGTCCATCAGTTAACATCTTGTGAAGCCAAAAGCTGCCTATTTGTAAGAAACTAATCTATTAATGTGTTTTAACTTTAAACTATTGCTTCAGGCTTAAAATATGAGTCCATAATCTATAATACAAGAAATGTAGCATTCCATCACTTTCTCAGCAATGGATCCTCTGCAGTGAATGGGTGCCGTCAGAATGAGATTACATAATCCACAAGTAATCCACTCCAGTCCATCAGTTAACATCTTGTGAAGCCAAACGCTGCCTATTTGTAAGAAACTAATCTATTAATGTGTTTTAACTTTAAACTATTGCTTAAGGCAAAATATGAGTCCATAATCTATAATAACACATCCTCTAGTGAAAAAAGAATGTCAAAAGTTCGTCACAAGTAGCTTTTCCACAAGCTGAGATAAATACTGATATATAGATGGTGTGTATACGCACAAACGCAATCATGACTCCACAACAATGCAGTATAAACATGAATTAAACAGCATGAGATTTAACAGAAAACACTAATAAACAACTGATAGCAAAAACGATTTTTTTAATATCAAATCTGAGCTGTCACACAGGGAGTTCTGGAAATGTTAGTTTATGTTTGTTTTTTTTACTGTATATTTGACATATTTGATCTGGAAGATATAGGTCAGTTGACTCATGACCCTATATAAAACAAGCGGTCAGTATAGCTCACCCAAAAATTAAAATTTGCTTAAAGTTTACTCACCCTCAGGCCAATCCAAGATGTAGATGAGTTTGTTTCTTCATGGGGACAACGAGAACAAGAAATGTAGCATTCCATCACTTTCTCAGCAATGGATCCTCTGCAGTGAATGGGTGCCGTCAGAATGAGATTACATAATCCACAAGTAATCCACTCCAGTCCATCAGTTAACATCTTGTGAAGCCAAAAGCTGCCTATTTGTAAGAAACTAATCTATTAATGTGTTTTAACTTTAAACTATTGCTTCAGGCTAAAATATGAGTCCATAATCTATAATAACACATCCTCTAGTGAAAAAGTCCTTGTTGTCCTCTCACATCAAAATCCACATAGCTGTTTTGGCTTGCTTGATCTGTACATAGTTCTCTCCTGATTCAGACCAGATGACTTTTTCACTGGAGAAACCAATATTATGGATAGAGGACTCGTATTTTTGGATGAACTATTCATTTAAGGCATTTTTAAGAAAAATGCAAACTTTTCAGAGAGAAAACAAAGACCACTAACTTGGTTGAGACTGAAAACAAGATTGCTATAAACATGCAACCTCACAAAAGCAAAAAATGTCTAAACACTGTTGGACCCAAATTTTAACCTCAGTGCAAACACTACGTTTCAAGTGCTTATTGCTTTAGTCAAGCACCTTTATTAACTGAGCTTCAGATTTGTTTCACATGTCCGATGTTCTATGAAGTCTTGTGCATGTATGTTTGTGCTTTGTTCTGATTTGACAGTTGTCCTTTTATAAAGCTGCATGTTCCTGGAAAAGCTTTAGTCCTTTGCTGTTTTCCAAGACATCGGGGATTGATTTCTATCCGGATTGTGACAAATAAATGGGAATAGGTCAAAAATGGATGTTAATGTAACACTTATTGTATTTGATAACGAGTATGTAGACACAATAATATTCACTGATCAATTGTGCACCATAAGGGGCTGTTCACACAGAGCACGTTTTTCCATTCCAATGCGTATTATACATTGTTTTTCTATGTAAACACACACTAGATGGATGTGTATGACTGTTGCGCTTGCGTCGTGAATCTTTTGCAGCGTCTCTCACACGTGAGCGCCATGTTTTTAAGACGCCGTGTCAAGTTTTTACATGCAGGACCGCTCATCAATTTCAGTTCCAAAACAGTGGACCAATCAGAAGACCCACGAAGGCGGGGCAAGCGTTGCAACCATTTGTTCACAGTAACAAGTTGCATGGCAACTGTTTTATTTGACAGCAACATGGCGAAGGAGGCATTCTGCACTGTGCTTTTTTTAAAGGATCAACTGATATACCGTCTAGCACTAATATACTATGATTATTAAAAAAAAAATCTGGTAAGTACAGTTCACATAGAACATGCTTTTCCATTCCAATGTGCTATTTTCCATTGTTTTTCTATGTAAACGTGCTAGACGGACGTGTACAACCGCCGTTGCACTCACATCTAGCATCTTTTGCAGCGTCTTACACATGAGCGCCATGTTTTTAAGACGCCGTGTCAAGTTTTTACATGCAGGACCGCTCATCAATTTCAGTTCCAAAACAGTGGACCAATCAGAAGACCCCGAAGGCGGGGCAAGCATTGCAACCGTTTGTTCACAGTAACAAGTTGCATGGCAACTGTTTTATTTGACAGCAACATGGTGAAGGAGGCATTCTGCACTGTGCTTTTTTTTAAACTATTCCTGAGCGCTGCATCTCTCGTTTTTAGGTGCAAAGACGCGTTCTGTGTGAATGGCCCCTAAGACTTAAAATGTTTATTCATAAAGTAAATAGGGTCCATTTTGAGTTCATAACAGGCGTAAACAAAACCTTATTGTTTCAATTCTTGTTTTTTCCTCTGTGTCTAAGCATTGGGAATTGATTTATGATTTCTTTAGATATCAAATACACACTGGCCTCCAGCACTCCATCATCAGACCACGTCAACCCAGCTGCCTCCCTCTGGATGTGGTCACACTCCCTCAACGCTTACAGGAAGCCGGTTACTCCACTCACATGGTGGGGAAGTGGCATTTGGGCTTCTATCGTAAAGATTGTTTGCCCACACGTCGTGGATTTCACACCTACTTCGGTTCATTGACCGGCAGCGTAGACTATTATACGTACGGCTCATGCGACGGCAAGTCATTGTGTGGCTTTGACCTCCACGAAGGTGAGTCAGTGGCATGGGGGAAAGGGGGGAAGTACTCAACTCACCTCTACACCCAGAGAGTGCGCAAAATCTTAGCAGCACACGACTCAACCAGTCAGCCTCTTTTTATCTTCCTTTCCCTTCAGGCGGTGCATACACCTCTAAAGCCACCCAAAGAATACATCTATCCGTACCGCCGCATGGGCAACGTTCCCCGCAGGAAATACGCAGCCATGGTTTCTATCGTTGACGAGGCAGTCCGGAACATAACTTACGCGCTGCGAAAGTATGGCTTCTACCGTAATAGCGTCATCATCTTCTCCACCGACAATGGAGCTCAGCCATTAACAGGGGGAAGTAACTGGCCCCTACGAGGGTGCAAGGGGACATATTGGGAAGGTGGCATTAGAGGAGTGGGTTTCGTGCACAGTCCCTTGATACGCCATCGAAGAAGGGTCAGCAGAGCCCTTATACACATTACTGACTGGTATCCAACCCTAGTTGGACTTGCTGGGGGCAATGTGTCGCAGCATCAGGGATTAGACGGGTTTGATGTTTGGCCTACCATTAGTGAAGGAAAGGAATCCCCACGACTGGAAATTCTTCACAACATCGACCCTCTTCATCGGCGCAGTTGGGGCTCGTTGAAGGACGGCTATGGATTGTGGGACACCACCGTGCAAGCGGCCATCAGAGTGGGCGACTGGAAGCTTTTGACGGGCGACCCTGGCCATGGGGATTGGGTGCCGCCCCAGGTGCTTACAAACTTCCCTAGCAGCTGGTGGCACCTGGAGCGACAGATTGAAAAAAAAAGAAAATCAGTTTGGCTCTTCAATGTTACAGGCGACCCTTGTGAACGGCATGACCTTGCAGCGCATAGGCCTGACGTCGTCAAGGAACTGCTAGCACGGCTAGCGTTATACAATCGCACTGCAATACCTGTTCGCTACCCGCCAGATGATGCTCGCGCTAACCCCAGTTTGAATGGCGGTGCATGGCGACCTTGGGTGAGCGAAGACGAAGAGGAGGAAAACTGGGATGGAATTTATTACAAGAGAGGAAAGAATCGCAAAAGGAAGAAATGTAGGCTCTGCAAATTACAATCATTCTTCAAGAAGCTTAATTTAAAGATCATGTCAAAACAAATACAAGATTCTTCTGCTATTGGACATCACTTACAATAATAAACTTAATTGCTGACCATGTTTAAGAGCTGGAAAGGAATAGTACACCCAGGACATCCAAGATGTGCATGACTTTCTTTCCTCGAAGAAAGGCGAAGAGAAATTAAGGTTTTAGAGGAAAACATACTCACCAAAGACTATTTTCGACAGTCCAAAATCCATATTTAGACAGTTTAAAAGTAATCCACACGACCCCAGCTGATAAATAAGGGTTGTAATGTAAATTATATACTTTTTATCTACAAATGCTTGCATTGGTGAAGTTTGGCTTAGTTCACGACCTCTTGTTTGCAGATTGAAGCATTTACTTGGTCACCTTTCTTTTAAGCTGACGTCAATAGTTGTGTGGTATAACATGTCTAAAAATACAAATATCTCTCAATTTATGTGAACTTATAAAAACTGCACGTGTATAAGAATTATACTACAATTGTACTGACAAATGCTGTTTACAGTAGTTTGATTGTCTTTTATTTCTTTTGAGAAAATAAAAGGTCAAGTTAATGCAATGTTGCAACATTTGGTGAAATTATATGAACTGTGAAACTATATTACAACAATGGTTTGAGCACCTGCAGACCTCTGTTGTTTGCATCCTATTTGCGTCAGACTATAATGCAAAATTCAAATGCCCTGCTGCTGAGCATCAGGAGACCACGAGGAGGCCAGGGCAGGACATCATTACATTTCAACACTATATTACAAGTGCAAGCTGTTTGTTCAGGCCCACTGGATATCTTATATAGTATGAAAACAAATCCCCTGTAGCACTGGCATTGGTGGATGGATGATAAGGTCTTGGGGTCAGGCCCAATACCATTAAGGAACCTCATGTTGGAACTGTATGACCGTTCAAAGATTTCCACAAACCACCCTCTGCCCACAAATGCATTCTGTGGAAGCATGAGACAAATCAGGGACAACCAAACCTCTCTTTGTTGAATGGAGGAACACAAGAGAAGTGCTGATATGCTCCTCCTTATTTTCAGCAAGTGATTGGATGGACAATAGACAGAAATGACTGTTCTGATTCTTGTTACAGTTTCAAAGTGCAGATGTGTTCATATTTTATGCTGTTATTTTTCATGAATATATGATTTTGAAATACGCCTCATTGTTTTTACACAAACATGGAGGATGTATGAGTGGATGTATCTGATGGCCTCATTGGGTATTCAGTGCTATTCAGTGAAAAAAGACATTTTTGCATACCTTTAAAAAGACTAATTATTACACTTTAAAAGAACAAAATGTAATGTTTTCAGACCCTTAACTGCATGTTGTTTACAATCAAATGAAAATGTATTATAGTTTGTTATTATACTTTTGTAATAATGAAGTTGCAATTTTGTAAAATACATTAAATCAAGTAACACTACAGAAAAAAAATATAACCAAGTACTTTACACATGCTTTAGTATGTTAGTCAACACTTAAAAATAAGTGTGCTTAAAGCACAATAAAAAATTAATATTCAAAACAATTAAGTACACTTCTTTGTCAGAAGGTGCTCTCTCTTGCTTTATCACTTTGCAGATTATGCAGTGGTGACTGCATTCATGCTTCACCTGCAGTTGGCTACACAAAACAATAAGGAAAAACAAAACAGAGGGAATATAGGAAACTGTTCGTTTTGGAGCTTGCTGATTGAATGCCTCCTCTTGCTGCTTCTGCTTCTCACAGTACAGAAGGACACTTTCATCATGCATGACACAAACCAAAGCCATCGCACAATCCAGATGTGCTTTCAGAAGAACATTTAGTGTGTGATGTGCCTCTATGCTTCCTGGCAAAACAACACTGCTTACTAGTTCACCCAAAAATAAAAAGGCTGAAAAACCATTTGTCTCTTCATCAGAACAGATTTGGAAAAATGTAGCAGAAGCTTTTTAAAGAGATAGTTCACCCCAAAATGAAAATGCTGTCATCATTTATTCACCCTCAAGGTTTTCTAAACCTGTATGTGTTTCTTTCTTCTGCTGAACACAAAAGAAGATATTTTTAAGAATGTCGGTCTGGTCCCCATTGACTTCTATAATATTTAATAAGGCTACCAGCAATTGTTTGATTGCCAACATTCATTAATTTGTGTGTGTGAGTGTGTACATGTTATCCTATCCCGGTGGGGACTTAAACATGAATACACATGGGGACTCGTGTCACCATGGGGACCTAAATTGAGGTCCTCATGGGCAAACAAGCTTATAAATGATACTGAATTAGTTTTTTTTCCTTCTTTCTGTCTCTGAGAATGTAAAAATGCAGAACGTTTTCTGTGAGGGGTAAGTTTAGGTGTATGATTGGTGTAGGGCCATAGAAAATATGGTTTGTACAGTATAAAAACCATTACACCTATGGAGAGTCCCCACAAGGATAGTGAACCAGACTGTGTGTGTGTGTGAATAAGTGTAAATAGGGCTATGAAAACTGTTCATACAGTTGTATTATATTATGTAAACAAATACAAACTAAATACAAATCAGTGAAGTCTGTATTTTTATTTATTTTTTTGCAATTTTTCTTTATCGTTCGTTTATATTGCAGCTAATTTACTTATTATGTATTTATTTTATGCATTCATTACATTATTTTATGCATTTATTCTGTACAGTTTTTACCTGACTACCCAAAATAAATAATAAAATGGAAATAAATTGATAAAGCAACTTAATAGTATACCACATTGTAACCATTAAAACAGGATTTAGCTTTAGGTGTGATTTCGCGGTTGTCCTGCAGGTGACTGCATGAGACTGTCTGGGCACTGAATCTAAAACGATTTTCAACCACTGCTTACGTTACGATTATTATTATTTTTTATTTTTTTTAAACAATCCGTAATTCTAACATGATAGAATTCTAATTAAAGCCTAAGACCTGCTTTTTGGAAACACGGTCCTGCTTATTATTTAGCCTAAATTCAGTTGCAGCCATCTCCTTAATGCATTAGCGCAGGGGTGCCCAACCCTGCTCCTGGCGATTTCAGTTTCATGTGTGTTACCATGATGGTGTTTGGTGTTTGTGTGAATGACACTGTGCACCTTCTATATATGTTATTATTTAAAAGCTGCTTGTGATGGGCTTTGGTTCATCATGTGACTTTCTCATCACCACCTGCATTTGGTGGCTATCAGTGTATTACAAAGGTACAAAACAGATTTCAGTACTTCAGTAGGTTGGTATATTAACATTATATCAGTTAATGAAATTACGGTATTTAACTGTAAATTTAAAACCGCAAAACCTAAAACGTTGCTACCGTATTGTTTACGGTAAAATTCCGGCAACCACAGCTGCCGGTTTTTTACCGTAAATTTTACTGAATTTTTTGTACAGTGTACAACATTACATTTGAAAACATATTTCACTTGTTACGACATGCTTTATTGTAGCTATTTGATTTGTTATAAATTACTGCAATTGTGTAGCCTGTTTGATCTGCTAGCTACTAAATAAAGCAAGCCCAATAGGCATTTCGTTTTTAAAAGCTTTTATTAATTTCTAAATTAAATATATTGCTTCTGATAAGGAGGAACAAATTCAGATTCTCATAACAATTTAAACAAGCATAGTTTTGTTTCCACCCCTTTTTAATTTTACTGCGTTTTGTCAAAATGTGTAAGCACTGAGCTTGTTCTTTTGAATGGTCGAAGGAAAAAAGTGTAATGCCTCGTAAATACATGTATAAGCTAAATAAAATAATTGAACTTCAGCACAAGGGCAACGAGACCTTTGCTTTGTCCTCGCATTATTATCAATCATCAGCGTGACACTCTTGCTCTGTTTAGGTTTGCTTTTCGATCCAAACTCATATGATCATGACTTGTGCAAAACAACATTTTTCTATCATTTTAATCAGCATTAAAATTCATATTTGTTAATAGATTTGTATTTATGTTAACAGAACTTTGATTTGTAATTCATATCAATCACCTCAGAGCTGTCAGTCGATGACGATATTCTCTGAAGATGTATTTATTTCCAAATGCTCTTCCAATTTCAAACACAAGGAAGTCACACTTGGACGTGAAATGTAACCCCACACATCTAAATCCTCTCAGATCGCTTTGAACCCTTTTTCTCCTTCTGAACCGAGCAAAAATCGTTTGCATTATTCTGTTTCCTCGAAGTCTTTTACTTTGGATCGCAGAAACATGTTTATTTACTGGTGTGCCTAATGGGCTGTAAAGTGTTTGCACGTTTTCAGATGGTGACATGAACCTATATTATTTGCCTATTCCTAGAGTTGAGGGGTAATGTTTAAAGTGAGGAGGAAAGGCATGAGTCAAATATGGACTATGGACAAACTAATATCTCTCCGCAAAGAGAAATGGCTGAATCCTGAAGGACAGCTTGATGAATAGATTGATGAATCGTTTGTATATTAAGTAACTCATTTTAAGATATAGGTCAGTAAAAATATGTAAACCACTCAACATGTAATGAAGTATCTTCCATGTTGTTATCTTATCAATAGGCAACCGTTTTCAAGCCGAACAGTGAAATAAAAGCTACTACGGTTATAAAATTATTAGCCCACGAACACACACTTGTTTGTCTTTACAACATGAACACAATCATAAATATTATTGATCAGCAGCACGCATAACTATACAATCTAAAATATCAGCTTCACGACGTCACACATTTCAGTTTGTCTCACACGGTTCACATCACTTTTGTCCAGGTGTCAAATGTTTTCATTTCCTTCATTTCATTTCAATTTTTTTTCGGACAGGTCATAATTTTATGGCCGTATGTTTGAGATGTTTTCATATCATAAAAGCTGATAGGAGACATCCTGAAATAATTTGGTATATTAGTGCTATCTCTGTCCAGTTTCTCCTTGAAAACTGGCTCATCGACACTAAGAATGGTCTGAGAAACGGCTTCTGGATTTGTAGTATTAAATGCTTTGAAAGTCCAGGTGAAATTGTCCCGGTCTTCCCTGCAGAATACAGAAAATACAGCCACGCTCACTCTCACTGAGGATTACGTAATTTAACAACACATTTTTTAATTCGATAGTAGGCAAGATGCTTTACCAGTAAAAAAAAAAAAAAGTATGTGTGTGTGTGTGTGTGCGCACGCGCGCGCTACCATAAAATAATCCTGTCTAATCTTTCATTTCGTTTTGCGCCAATGCCTGTTCCATATCTGTGTAAATAAAAGTTAATAAAAGCATTGATCTTTTTGTTTTTAAAA